TAAGGGTACACATGTGACAAGATGGGCGGACCCTAGATTCATGATGGCTGCCTAACCTTGATTGTCCTAGAGCTAGAGACTGTTTAGTCTAAGCTTTCAGGGGAAGCAATCTACTCTCCCCAACAGCAGGGAGTGAGCCCCGTCTATTGTGGGAGAAACAATGGTGTCTGCTTGCTCCGGATGCTGGAGCCTTAGGGAGATAACTTGACAATCATTTACCATTAGTTGCAAGCAGTGTCCTAAGTCTACCATATATTTGGGGGAGAGGACTTGGGAGAAATCTTTCTGCTTCCCACACTCATGGAGTCTCAGAATCAAGTCCACAGCACCCAGCAACAACATTCTAACACTGCTTAGAAAATACATCGATGCTACTGAGATAATGTAAGAGACACATCTAGGGTTGATTCTATGAGAATAACCACAAAGAGCGGTCGCAGCATGCTGTTTTTGTTTTCCAGCCAGTCAAAAAGAAGTGGGACTCCCTCAGGAGGATTCGAGGAAAACTGAGTAACTGCAGGAAGGTGCTTTGTAAACGATAAAGTGCTAAGCAGCCAACGTATTTACCCCAGGACTACTGTGAAGAGGGGTCGCGGTTTCTGAAGAGGGCAAATGAACAAAAACAGACACACACAGAGACAGTACCAGGCTGCAGCCGCGAAGGACCGCAGCATTTTATTTTTATAGAATCGATACTGGCAGCGTTCCTACATATGCTCCCTGTTCCCACACTCGATTTCACGTGGCCTTGACAGAGCTCCGTATCTCAGCCCGCGCTGCTCCTGTTTACCGCTCCCAGGGAGCACTGTGTGCAGCTGTGCCTCACATTCCTTACTGTCTGCCGTTGAAGGACATCCTGCGCTCCAGGGAGAAAAGGAAACAGTTTACGAGAACAAGCTAGCACAGACGTTTGTGAACTGTCCTAAAGAGAAACGCGACAGGAGACACGGTCCTCCTTTCATGGCTCCTTCAATAGCTCTTCAAGATAAAGCCACACTCGTTGCCTCTAGCCGACTCGGATTTGAAACCACAAGGTAGGACAGGGTAGAAAGGTCCCATGGGGTTTCCAAGGCTGTGATCAAAAGCAGGCAGCCAGCCACCTCTTTTTCCACTGGAATAAGGTGACCAGACATCCCGCTTCTGGCGGGACAGTCCTGATTTTTAACAAATTTTCCCGCGTCCTGCAGCATTTTTTTAAAGTCCCGATTTTTGGAAAGAATGCACGACAAGCTAGGGTATATGGTTTTCGGCTGCCA